GCTTTATGTATCTCTAAAAGGAAGGAACTTCTGCGCTTGCAGAGAAAAAAACCTTGCCCTCTGTACTAAGACGTGGTGTGGTTAAAGGGGTGCATAGAGTCCACAGTTAGCATCGGTGGAACATGTTTGTTTATTTATTTATTATATGCTGCTCACTCTACCCAAAGGTCTCTGGGTGGCTTGCAACAATTAAAATACAATAAAAGATAAAACAATTAAAATACAATTAACATAGATACTCTAAAGATTGCCATCAGGACCCACAGTTGATATTATTTCAATGAAAAGGTGCGTACCACCGCCTTGTATGTCCTTTTGATTTCAGTTGTCTAATTAGGGACTGATATTAGTACTGTAGTAAGTAGCAGTTAGAATAATAGGCCCATTGAATCAAAGGGGATTTAATGCGTCAGCTCCTCTGTAAGTTCCATTGGTTCAATTTCTGCTACCCTAATTGTGATTTACTACTGGATCTCTGCCAAAGTATGATTGCATTCTGGATTGAACCCAGTATCACAAATACCAAAGCTCGCTTCTGGGGGTGCATTTTGCAAAACGTGGCTGTGAAAATACGAGAGATGCTTTGCCTTCACATCACTGAGCCATCATCTTGTACGAAAGGCGAGGTTGCCTCTGAGCACTACAGAATAGCTGGGTCCAAATACATCTGCCGATTTAGATGCTGTTACAAATGAGGCAAGCGGCTGGGAGTTGGTATACTGGGGGTTGTTGTTCTGAGCTGCAAGCTTGCTGTCATTCTAAGCTGAGTGATGCTTCAGGATCAGAAGTGCCAAAAATACATCATATGCACATTGAAAACTGAAACGAAGTTTTGATGATCACCCAGCTTGATATGGCTGGCAGGCTTTAATTCAGCAGAGGAACACACTGTGCAGTAAACCTTAGTGTATTGGAAGGCCTGTTAACTGCATGACTTGCGTTCATATTGGAAGGGGTTCTCAGGACAGGCGTGAAGCACCTCTTTATATTGGAAGGCCTGTAACTGCATGACTTGCGTTCATATTGGAAAGGGTTCTCAGGACAGGCGTGAAGCACCTCTTTATCACTCTGTCCCATATTGCTCCCTTAAACAACAGATTTATTGCTCCTAATTAATGCTGTGATGCAGACACAGGGTCCACTTGTGTTGGCCAATAGCCGTCCTTCCAAGTTCCTGAATAAAATTTGCTTGAATATTCACTTGTGTTGGCCAACAGCCGTCCTTCCAAGTTCCTGAATAAAATTATTTCCAGGCCTTCTTATTGAAAGCCTTTAATGGTAATTGGAGTTTGTAGCAGATTGTATTTGCCCACAAGTTTGTAATGAACAATTCTGGAATATGATTCTACTTTTCATTTGTGGTGAGAAAAATCATTTCTGAGTGCAGGGGTTGAACTATCAGTGTCCACCTGCCACTGGGAGATGGAATGCTGGTTCTGTGTTACCAGAGATCCGTGGTTCAATAGGGATGGCTTCCCAAGGTGAAGCTAGAGATTTCCTTGCAGGAGGGGAGTATCTGATATCCCAGTTACTGAGTAAATTACTTTCTGGGTAGGGGCTGTTCAGGAAAGATTTGTGCCCAATTCCATTCCGGTTTAACCATGTAAAAGATGAATTAGAAACAAAATTGGGGGCCTGCACTATAGTTCAGATGTCCTTTTCTAGGGGTACATAATAACAGCAGAATTTGGGGCATTCTGAAGTTTCAGTTTAACACTGAAAATAAGTCTACACAAATCAACAGCCCACAGTATTCCTTCCTGACCATGCATATCTGTTTGTCATTTGAAGCACACTGATTAAAAGCATCTGGGGGATGGAACTGATTTTTGGGCCTGCACTATAGTTCAGATGTCCTTTTCTAGGGGTACATAATAACAGCAGAATTTGGGGCATTCTGAAGTTTCAGTTTAACACTGAAAATAAGTCTACACAAATCAACAGCCCACAGTATTCCTTCCTGACCATGCATATCTGTTTGTCATTTGAAGCACACTGATTAAAAGCATCTGGGGGATGGAACTGATTTTTTTTCCTTGCCATATTCCTTCCTGACCATGCATATCTGTCATTTGAAGCACACTGATTTAAAGCATCTGGGGGATGGAACTGATTTTTTTCCTTGCCCTTCCTAGTGTTCTGAAGTTGATTCTTGTTCATGACAGCTGCTTATAACTCTGTTTTCTGTGTGATTGATATTGGTTGCATTCACACACAAGGATGAGACAGGTTTTCTCCACACAAGCTGCATGTTGGTGTGTGTAGCCTATTGCTCTAGCTGAGTTCCTCCTACTGGCATGAGGTGCAGAACCAACCATAAAAAGAAGGGGCACTTGGATTTTCAAAGCTGGGATCCTGGTTTGTTACCTTCATACAAGGTGGGATGATTTCTGATTTATAGAGGGCACAACAGACCAGGATCCTGTGATCCTGGTATCACAGTAAGCTTTCTGTTTCAGGTTGGTTTTCCACTTGCTCAACTACTGGAGTGGGGGTAGTGTCCAGATGTTTTTGGATTGTGGCTCCCATCAGCATTAGGCAACATGGCCAGTAGTGGGGAATGCTACAATTTGAGTCCAGCAGCATTTTGTAGCAGTGATTGCAGACATTGGGTCCCCAGGTGTTCTTGGACTGAAACTCCCCAAAGCCTTTACCATTAGCTGCACTGGTCAGGATTTCTGGTAACTGTAGTCCAGAAACATCTGGGGACCCAAGGTTGAGAATCACTGTTTTGCCTAAATGATCCTTTTTAGCTGGCAAAACCAGGCAGGCCATGTACACTAGCCCACATTCATATGTGATGTCTTACCATTTTGTGTTAACTTGGCAAGCATAAATCAATTCAAGAAGCATGCACGATTAGCAAATTACTTAGTTTATAATGGCCAGATTATGCGGCCAACAAGCCGCTGTTTAGGACTTGCATGCTTCTATCTTCCCTTGTTTGCTCTCTTTTTTTCTGCTCTGGCCAAACTGTGGTTCCCATTTTCAGGCACCATGGCAAATTTGGTTTGCCTGAATCAGAATACAAGGAAGGAAGGAAATCTCAAATGGCAGAGGGACAGTGCAGCCTCCAAGGCATGGTTTGAATTACCAAGTAGTTGTTTGCTTGATACTAGAGATGAGTGTCAATCGGTGGTTTGGCTCGGTTCGTTTCCTGGCTGAATAGCTGATCTGCAGTGAGTTCCAGCATTGCCCAGAGGAGGCAGAGTAGGGTGCTGCTGCTGAGTGGGCGCCTGCTAGAGGGGGCAGGGCTCTGAACTGTGTATCAGCTGTTCAGCCACGAAACGAACTCTGCTGAACCACTGGTTTGTGCCCATTTCTAGTTGATACATGTCAACCAAGTTATGCAGTGGAATTCTTTTCATGTTTATTTGGAAATATTTTCCACTTTGCTCAATGGGTTTTAAGCTTAAGTGCATTCATGGGTTAGCAGCGGATGGATGGACGGACGGACAGACGGATAGGGAACCAATACTAGAAGACTCTGGTGTCTTTGTATGTACTGATGAATCTGCTGTTTTCTTCTTTTTTTCAATTCGCCTCCTGTGGTGGGTGATTTGCCCCTCATTCCTAGACTGCCTTTCTGTGTAGCCAAGGCAAATAAGTAGCAACTTGTGAGCCCAATTTATCTGCTCACTACACCTATGATCTTTGAGTGTGTAAAAGAAGTCTCCCAGCCCCAACAAGCTTGTGTCATCTGTTTCTCACAATAACTCTCTTGTTCTAAAACCCCACTCTAGCATTTTAATCTCAACATGGATGTCTTGCCTAGGACCTCACTGGGATGTTTTTAGAGTCCTTGCTTCATTGTCATAGCAGTCTTGTGAGATGGAGAGGACATTGGCATCCCTTAGATTGCACAACCCATGGAATTGCTCAGTGTAGATTTGGCTGCTGGTACCACCATTCTTAAAAAGCACAGACATCACCTTGCCAACAAAAGTCCAAATAGTCAAAGCTATGGTTTTTCCTGTAGTGATGTATGGAAGTGAGAGCTGGACCATAAAGAAAGCTGACCGCCGAAGAACTGATGCTTTTGAATTGTGGTGCTAGAGAAGACTCTTAAGAGTCCCCTGGACTGCAAGGAGCACAAACCTATCCATTTTGAAGGAAGTCAACCCTGAGTGCTCACTGGAAGGACAGATCCTGAAGCTGAGGCTCCAATACTTTGGCCATCTGATGAGAAGAGAAGACTCCTTGGAAAAGACCTTGATGTTGGGAAAGTGTGAAGGCAAGAGGAGAAGGGGACGACAGAGGATGAGATGGTTCGACAGTGTCATCGAAGCAACCAACATGAATTTGACACAACTCCGGGAGGCAGTGGAAGATAGGAGGGCCTGGCGTGCTCTGGTCCATGAGGTCACGAAGAGTCGGACACGACTAGACGACCACCATTCAGGGCCAGTTTGAGCAGGAGAGACTCAGGGTTTCAGCAGGCCTGCATAATTAGAATGGAGTAAGTCATTCATAGATAGGAGGATGTATAGAGGGTTGGGACATGTTTTGTGTGGACTGGTAGCCTCTTAATCTTTACGCTGAAGAAGGAGAAACAGTTGAAAAGGCTCAAAAACAAGTTGCTTGTGTTTGGTGAAGCCAAGGACCATTCAGCGTAGAACAACCTGAAGCTCTGGATCGCTCACAGTTCCTGCTGAATCTATCCAGCCACTAGATGTGATGTGAATTTGCAAGGAAGATTGTAGAAGCCTGAGATAAATGTCCCTTTC